GTTTAGGGTTTAGGGTTTGGGATACACCGCTACAGTTCAACAGCGAAGTTTAGGCTTTACAGCTTTGGGCCGGAAGCCGTTCCCTAGATCAGACGTCCTCAGTCCGAATAGCTGAGCTGCTTCCGTGTAAAGATATGTATATGTGTACATAAATATATAGTTATAAATAAATAAACAAATAAATAGATAAACAAATGTGTGTGTATATATATATATGTGTATGGATACACATATTGTGTGTGTATATGTATGCATATGCATGCCATGCATGTGTGTGTATGTGGCATGTATGTACGTAGGTAGGTAGGCAGGCAGGCAGGCAGGTTGGTAGGTAGGGAAAGTCATACGTAGATATGCAGGTATGTGTCTGCGTGTGTGCGTGTGCTCTGTGTCTGTGTTGTGGCTGTGTGTCTCTGTGCCTATGTGTCTCTGTGGCTCTGTGGCTCTGTGGCTCTGTCTGTCTGTCTGTCTGCCTGTCTGTCTGCCTGTCTGTATTGTGGGTATGTTAGCTACTATCTGTCTGTCTATTAATCCATGTATTGGTCTGTCCGTCTATCCATGTTTCTTTCCGTAAATCTATCTATCGATCGATCTATCGATCTTACTATCTGACTGTCAATCTTTCAAGGTTACCATCTACCTATGTTTCCATCTATCCGTCTTTCTATCTATCGTTACACCTGCAATCTGTCCACCTAGCCATTTTCCCATCGTTCCATCTTTGAACCTATCCGTCTAGCTACCATCTATCCATCGATCCATCTATCTATCTACCATCTATCCATCGATCCATCTGTCTATCTGCCTTCCATTCATCTTTCCATCTGTCCATGTATCCATCTATCAATCTATAGACCTACCCATCTATCTATGCCTGTACACATGCGACATACCGGGTTAGATTGCATACGGGCATGCTTCTCACACTCAATGAGTGGATCAAGTTGTTCGCCTTGCCAAGGTTGACCATTGGCTGACGGTGAGACATGGGGAAGTTGCTGTGCTGCGCTCGTATAGAACCTCAAACCCGGAGTCCCCCAAACTCAAAACCCGAGTCCCAAATCGAAGCTGCGAAACGTTTAGAATGTAAATATGCGGGCGTTGATGATGCCTCGGTTTCAGGTTCATAAGGGCTCCCCGTATATTCTATCGTCGTATATTATTAGAGTTTGTGATGATAGTGCGTTATAGTCTACTATAGTTTGAACGGCATTTTCTATTGTGCAACCTAGATCTCGACGAGCAACTACCTCAGGGTGTCCTGGCAGTGACATCGAAATCCGAAAGGCCTTGCCTTTCTTGGCTCTTAAAATATTCAAGTTGCCTACTTGATCTGTAGGTTCATCGGTCTTTTTTGAGTTCTGACTGTGCAGCCGGCATCTTCATACTTATTCCTTAGGCGCTGGCGAATAGGTTAGTTACTGTGACACCTAAAAGGAAGGGTCTCCTCAAGCCCCGAACCACCCTATGGACTTGCGCTCGAACCTTTCTCCGCCGCAGCAGCCCTGAGAATCCATGGCTTCAAGACGAAACCTCGGAAAAGAAAGTTTGCGTGGGACACCGTAAACCCTAAACCCTAAACCCTAAACCCTAAACCCTAACCCTAAACCCTTGGGGGGAGAGGGAGATCCGCGGGGGTTTCAGACTCTTTGGGCTCTAGGGATGCTTGGGGTTTTAGGGTTGAAGGGGTTCTTCGGCTTTAAGGTTTAGGGTGGGTCCATTTACACTACTATTAAAGACCATCCCTAATATGGTTTTGGGGACCTGATTCCATAATAGTAATATATATGGACCCTCTTGGGATTAAGGAGTTAGAGGGTAGAGTTTCCGAACGTTTTGGGAAGTCTTGTTATACGAATGCTACGGTTGATGATATAAAATGCTGCATTTCCAATAATAGAGAATCTACCATAACTCCCATAATTTTTAGGGTCCTTAGGGTAATGCAGGATGTATATATCATCAACCGTAGTACTGGAGGCTGGTATGAGGATCCCTTGTCTTCGTAATCTTCCCGGTGGAACCTACCCGGCGTATCCGATGTAGTTCCTTGTTTAGCTACCTGGGTAGTTTTCGAGATTCGGATCCCTTTTAGGGTCCTTGTTACAAGGGTGCCGTGCTATATTGGGGACCAAAAAAAGGGACCCTAATTTAGAGAACTACCCACCTAGCTTCTTGATTGTAGGGTCCTGACCATCAAGTTGGAAAGCAGGATAGAAACTACGTTGGGAGAGTATAGCTGCCATTGCAAAAGTCTCGTGGCGTAGGACAGTCTCCGCTGCAAAGGGAAGTGTACCATCTTGTGTAGTGCCAACACAGCCTCAGCAATTGAAACCTGCTAAGCTCCCATTATCAAGAGTGGGCAGTGCCAGGGGCCCAGCACGTGCAGTTATCTAGACCGGCCTCCCTGTGTCACAAACTCCGTACCCACAAACCCTTCCTCCCTTCCCTAGGCCCTACAGGAATATCTCAACCTAAACTCGAAATCCGAAACCCCAAAGCCAAAATCCTGCACCGTAAACCCTACAAACCCTCAGCCCATCATAGCCCTTAGTCCATCTTAGCCCTCAAGCCTTCGCTCCCCAACACCTGCGGCCTTGCACCTCTGATCTTAAGTCGGGTTTAGGGCTCAGGGCTCTTATCTCGAGTCTTCATAGCAATCATACAGTAGTTCTAACGATTAAGGCCCCCAGATATCAAAGAGAACTTTATAGTAACCCTTATAGCAACACACTTATCATAGCCCTTATAGTAGCAGTTACAGTAAACCCCACAGGAGTCCTTTAACGGAACCCTGTTCGAAGAGTGAAGGTCCCTCGAAGCGTGAGCAGACTGAACTGAAGAACATAGTACTGGCAACATCACTTTAGGGTTGAGGGTTTGGGGTTAAGGGTTTTGGGTTTCGGGTCTAGGGGTTAAGTTTAGGGTTTAGGGGTTAAGTTGAGGGTTTAGGGTCCTAGCAATAGCACTACATGCAGGTAACATGAAAGCGGCAGCTAGCCTGGTCGGGCTTGTATGTCCTAAACCCTTAGCCCTCTTTGGGAGGGAGATGAATCGTTCACAGCACAGTCTAGGGTTCAGGGTTGGTTTCTGTTTTGGGCTTTAGTATAAGGTTTAGGCTTCATTTCTTCGCTGCTTTGGTTTACACTGAGACTCTTAGGTGGTTTGAGTAGCAAAGCCGATCAAGCCTAAACCCTAAACCCCTAAACCCCTAAGCCCCTAAACCCCTAAACCCTAAACCCCTAAACCCCTCGGATCGTCCGCAGTGACTGCTTGCATAAACCCCTAAACCCCTAAACCCTTAAATCCCTAAACCCTAAACCCCTAAACCCCTAAACGGCCCCTAAACCCTTAAACCCCTAAACCCTTAAACCCCTGAACCCCTGACCCCTGAACCCCTAAACCCTAAAGGGTTCAAGCCGAAAGCTCCAGGTACGATCGTGCTCAAGCCCACCTGGAGGCATTCTACGTGGAGGTGCGGGGATCGCAGATACGTTCGGCGGCCTCGAATGGTATACCGAGGGGTGGGACCGGGACGATCTTTGTGACGGAGTGCCGAGTGAACCCTGAACCCTAAATCCTAAACCCTAAACCCAGCACTGAGGAACATGCGCGAAGCACCAAGGATCTACCCATGTTCAGGGACCTTAGTACGAGCTAAGGAATGGCAGGGAGCGCCAAGGATCCCTCAACTAAGGTACTCTCAGGCAGGGAAACCGACGGAAGAAGAGCAGAAGTTAGAGCTAAGGAAACCCTCAACTAAGGTACTCTCAGGCAAGAAACCGACCGAAGAAGAGCCGAAGGTGGAGCTAAGGAAAACCAAGGGGCCACCAAACCGGTGACATTGCAGGTGTCAGGAGCACCAAGGCACTAAGGACTCTCTCAGGTATTTCGATCTCCACTGACACGGCCTCGATATCCGGGAATCAACTAAGGAAAGTTCAGGTACCATGGAGTCGCAGGTACGGATAATCCACTAAGGACTTTTCAGGTACCCCTGGCACCAGGCCAATGAGTCCAAGGCACCCAACCTAGGAGAGTCCAGGTACCACGAAGTGCTCCGAAGACGAAGAACTCACTAAGGACTTTCAGAGGTACAGCACAGGCACTAAGGTGATCGGACCAGGGAACGGCTAAGGAAAGTTCAGGTACCACCAAGTGGCAGGTGAAAGACGAAAAGGTACTGAAGCTCAAGCACACGGGGGAGTCGGAGGTTTGGCAGCAGTCCTCGGTTGGGAGTTGGAGCTTTTGCGGGAGCTTTGCTGCAAGCGCTCAGCCTGTAATATAAGGGCCTTAATGCATAGAAGAGGGTGCTGGGATATAATATACTACAATTATAATTAAGGAGCCCCCGAAATAGTATTGGTAATTAGTGAGGCCTCTCTACTAATTAGGGTCTCCCAGGTTGATAAGGAGGCACGGGCGAGTTTAGGCACTGCAAGGTCTAGGGCGTAGCAGGTAGAAGCCTGGGTCAATGTCGGGCCCACGGAACGAAGACGATTAGCTGTAAGAGATCCCCAGCCACAGCACCAAGAGCTGTGTCGAAAGCTGAGAAATCATAATTTCTCAAGCCCTGCCCTGGTATGTGTTGCTGTGCGATGACGCTGAGATGTCGCTTTATGGGGCGCCCGAATCCTCCACCCCAAATGCGTGGGCGATGGAGGTTGGTTTCAACATGTTTCAACAGTGAAGTCATAGCTACTGGAGCTGCGGCTTCCGAAACTCTTTCCCGATCCCCCTGTACTGACAGGTGCAGGTTGCTGTTTCGCCCTCTTGAGGTGTTTCTGGAATTGGCCAACTATGGGGAGATTGAGGAACCGCGCTGCCAAGATCCAACGCACAGGTTATCGCGGTTACGGCTTGGAGCTAAGAGGTTCGAACTCTTTGGCATTTCTCTTGAGCTTGTCAAGGCTTATAGTAGAAGCTCAAAGTCGATCGGGTTTCCATTTTGTGGGGATTTACTGTAACTCGAAAGACTCCGAAGCCAAACGCCTGAACCAACCCCCAAAAATTTCTTTCTGAAAGCATCTGGTGAGGTTACGTGTTTTTTCCAGTTCCGCCATGGGGTCAGGATGATACCTTCTGTTTGCCAGGCACCTAGAGGCTGTCGTTGCACCACCTCTAAACCTTAAACCTTAAAGCCCAACTCCTTCGCCTAATAAGCCTTAAGCTAAAGCCTCACCCTGAAGCCTAAACTCTTGCAACCGAATCGGAACCCGAATAGCAATAGTATAATGCTGCTTGTAGGTAGCCCTTAATGGGACCCTGGGGAAAAACCCTAACAGGTTGCATCAGGTCGCCCTTACGAAGCACAAGGGTAGTTCTCTAAACTTGGGTCC